ATTCATCATTAGTACTCAAATATTGTATTCATCATTAGTACTCAAATATTGTATTCATCATTAGTACTCAAATATTGTATTCATCATTAGTACTCAAATATTGTATTCATCATTAGTACTCAAATATTGTATTCATCATTAGTACTCAAATATTGTATTCATCATTAGTACTCAAATATTGTATTCATCATTAGTACTCAAATATTGTATTCATCATTAGTACTCAAATATTGTATTCATCATTAGTACTCAAATATTGTATTCATCATTAGTACTCAAATATTGTATTCATCATTAGTACTCAAATATTGTATTCATCATTAGTACTCAAATATTGTATTCATCATTAGTACTCAAATATTGTATTCATCATTAGTACTCAAATATTGTATTCATCATTAGTACTCAAATATTGTATTCATCATTAGTACTCAAATATTGTATTCATCATTAGTACTCAAATATTGTATTCATCATTAGTACTCAAATATTGTATTCATCATTAGTACTCAAATATTGTATTCATCATTAGTACTCAAATATTGTATTCATCATTAGTACTCAAATATTGTATTCATCATTAGTACTCAAATATTGTATTCATCATTAGTACTCAAATATTGTATTCATCATTAGTACTCAAATATTGTATTCATCATTAGTACTCAAATATTGTATTCATCATTAGTACTCAAATATTGTATTCATCATTAGTACTCAAATATTGTATTCATCATTAGTACTCAAATATTGTATTCATCATTAGTACTCAAATATTGTATTCATCATTAGTACTCAAATATTGTATTCATCATTAGTACTCAAATATTGTATTCATCATTAGTACTCAAATATTGTATTCATCATTAGTACTCAAATATTGTATTCATCATTAGTACTCAAATATTGTATTCATCATTAGTACTCAAATATTGTATTCATCATTAGTACTCAAATATTGTATTCATCATTAGTACTCAAATATTGTATTCATCATTAGTACTCAAATATTGTATTCATCATTAGTACTCAAATATTGTATTCATCATTAGTACTCAAATATTGTATTTATCATTAGTATTTAAATAGTATATTCATAAATATAAATGTAACAGCTTTATTTTTAAATTCTGCTCACTTGCAATCAATATAGAATAAAACACTAATTTGACTTAATTTTTATTTAAGCTAAAACATATCTCCAACCAAGATTTATACATTTGTGTATAGTTTATTTTATTACTCTTTGTCAGACACATAAATTCATCTAAAACTTCGGAATTTAATATGAGTTCTTTTGTACAGAAATAGACTAAAATTAATAATTAATAATTATTAGATTGTGCACAGTTCCATATGCAAGAGAAAAATTATCTACTTTCATTGCAAAACACAGATGCCATAAACAAATTTCTATTTTCTTTAAATAATCTTGATAATTTGCAAATAATATATCGACATTCTAAAATACGTTTAATTAATATATTATTTTAAATCGCGCCAACTCGTTTTTATCATAAATGCGTGAAATTCGCAGTCGAACAATTGTTTGGTAAAGCATTTCAATTTATTAGCCAGAATATCGTTCAGTACGGAGAAACGTCGAGAAACTTTATAGCGCCGGAACAATCTTAGCCTCCAATGTTCTATAAATTGCTCTTTCCTTCTCATGCAATCTGAATTTCCTTCTCACACGGTCTGAATTAGTTGTTGATAAAGCGCATACCTTCATTGAAGTCGCCACAACTGTTCTGCGCTCACTGCAGTAGAATCAAACTGAACTGACCCATCTAGAGGCTACTGGAATTTAACCATCGCTTTTTAATAACGAGATTTAATTAAACTTTAGTTGCGATACGTTGATATTGTTGCAGAATTTTTTTTATTATGTACGAAAATTCTATCGTCGTTATGTAGTGTTTTCCGTTCTTATAAATTCTTGTTACGAGTAAAGATGACAAATGGTTTAAATCTAAAAACTAAATCTTCTGCATAGAGTTTATAAGACATAACGTTACTTTGTACAATTGATATTCAAATTATTTTATACAATTATTACTTTACACTCGATACAAACAATAAGGTCACGAATTATGTTTGGTATTTCTTAAAATGAAGAGCTGCTTTTTAAAGTATTCAGAAATTGTTGTTAACCGACTGTAAATATTCGTGTTACCTCAATGATACCTAATCACTTAAAGATCAAGAATAACTTTCAATATTTTTAAGATTAAGAACTGCTTGCCAAATTACTCAGAACTTCTTACAAACTGACTATAAATATTCATTGTTCATCGATGCAAAACTGTGCAGGCAAATGAAGTATTCTTAGAGATGGCACCTGATCAATTGACGATCAGGAATAACTTGCTATAATTGTAATATTAAGAGCCACTTGCCGAACTTAGTCAGAGCTTATTACTAGACAGCGGATTTTATGCATTAATAGCACGAATGAGTAGACCAAATGCAAAATAATAAATACATTTGAAGAATTTAAATATGCTGCTGGATTAATGTCAATGTGTACGTAGCTCCTGGGGCTCGCGATAACTGCGGACGATTTTTATTTCGCGTAAAAATCCGCTGACTACTTATCACTGACTATAAACATTCATCGTTCTCTCATCGATATAAAATTTGTGAACGAAATACAATAAATTCTCTGAAATTGTTCCTCGGTTTGCATACAGAAATGAACAATTTTGGGGAGGAGATACGATTATTCGAGCCTCGCGTTTCGTTTTATTGTCGCCGATTGTCAACACAACTATAAAACATACGAATAATCGTATCTTCTCTTCCCCAAATTGTTCATTTTTGTTTGCAAGCCGAGGGACAATTTCAGAGAATTTATTGTATTCACGCGAAAATGCCGATTGATCTTAAATCCGAAATAACTACATACTCGGAACTTATTACTTCCTATGAATATTCATTATTCATCGACACGAAACTTGCAAACGTAGTATTCGTAGAAACTTCGCTCGATCGATCGATCGAAGATCAAGAATGAATTGCGACACAAATTTCGGAAACTGTCGGGCACGTTCCCGTGGCGACATTAATTGCCTGTAACCGAAGCCAATCTTCTCCGTGACGACACCGTGGAAGACCCAGCAATTCGAAAGGACGTCACGCCGTCGAGGGAGATAAGGGAACGTAAGGTTTTAAATCTCCCCGCGGAGATGTTTCCTAAGCGAGCCATTTTATTTCGCTGAATGTTAACGAGCGGTCCTCTGGGTGGTTCGATGAGCACTGTGCAAAGTTCGACAGAGCCTGACCTGAAAAGCTGTCGGTTTTATTGCCGGCCTTTTATTGCCGTCCTTTGCGTCTTCCTGATTTTTCTCTTTCGGTTCTCCCTTTCGTTTAAACCGGCGACAATTCTCGCGGCCAGACACCCCGACACAGCAGCAGCAGCAACAACAACAACAACAACAACGACAATGACAACGACACGGGCCGTGGCAATTAGTTGAAATTTACGAGGCAGGCGCGCTCGACTTTTCGACGAGCCAGCGAGTATATTTATCGCTGAAATTGCCACGGGTAACACACGATTTCTTTGTTGTCTTCTCTCTCTCTCTCTCTCACACACACACACACACACACACACACACACACACACACACACAATCTCCCCGTCTCTCTCCCTGTCTCTCTCCAGCTTTGTTGTCCAGGCGTGTAATCAATTTTGACCTTGAATCGACGATATGCGACCGATTAAATGCATCGGAAGCTGGATTTAATTGCTTTCATAAAATAAGCGGGAACACCGTGTTCTCGTAATAAATTCTCGTAAAGTCTCAATCGGGCTCGTTTCAACATCACCGCGAACGACGGGAACGAATACAAATTGAAAGACGACGATGGGAAAGCTTTTTGTGGAAAAATTGATTGGACAGAAGAAATTTTTAATTTCAAGTGATTACATTTTCCGGGGGGGGGGGGGTTATTTTCGTGATTTTCCAC